AAAGGGTTGCTAACTCTCTAGCAAGCAGAAGCAAAGTACATCCATCGCTAGAACCTTACTAAAAAGGTGAGCAATCTTTCTTTCAGATGAAGGAACAAGTGCACTTAATGTTGAATTCGAAAGAAACATAGTGAAAGCTCTTCACTCAATAGACTAGAATGGCAGTGGTAACTTCCTGTCCAGACCTACACAGATTATAGTTACACACAGGCTGCCCACAATGATAAACTTTGACATGATATTGGTGATGGATAAAGGTGAAGTTGTGGAGATGGGTTCTCACATAACTCTTATGACAGCAATTGAGGGGGTTTATGCTAGACTATTTGAATTCCAAAGTATAATGGGAAGTTAATTTACCATGAGAGATACCATGGATAGAAATGATGCTTCTCTTAGCAAAGAATATAGTGTTGTGAATGCTTTTTGTGTTCGTAGTGTAAACAAACGAGAAGTATAAATGTATGGCTCTTTTGCTAGATTTTTCTTGCATCCATTATTGGATTTTCTTTGGGATATAATAAAGGACAAATGGATGATATATGTTTATACTCATGCCATACTCATTCTTTGTAGTTTCAAGAAAACACAATTGACATAATTACATGCAACATCTTGTAAGTCAAAATTCAAGTCTTGAGTCAACTTCAAAGAAAATTTAATTTTTTTTAAATACACATTAATTCAATATAAGAGTGCATCCTTAAGAACATTCAAAAGAAAATACTTAATCTCGAGATACATACAACTAAACTAGAGAACACCTGAATGTCTAACACCCCCCTTCTCCTCTCCCCCCAAAAAGACTTTGAATCCAAATTCTCCCTATGACTTCATTAAAATTGTTGATGTGCCAAAATGGATGGAGTCGCCACCTATCCAAATGAGGTGGGATAGATCATCAAGGTCTACAAAGAAATTGACTAGGCTCGGAGGGTCGGTTAAGCATGGGGAAGGTGTTAGGCACCCCACAACTTCCATATAATATAGTTACCACCTACTTTAATTTTGGGGACTTTTCAATTTTATATCAAAATAATAATTACCAAAAAATAAATAAATAATAATAATAATAATAATAGTAAAAAAAAATCACTTCCAAAAGAACAAAGAATCTGTCATCGTTTCATTTTTCTTTTTGTTTTCGTTTCTTTTGTTT